GGTATTTTTTTTTCTCCCTTGTGCTTTATCTGCAGTCACTGTGTCTTACTGTGTGTCTCATTACGTAGGATAAGGTTCAGAATTTGGGTTGAAGCTTTCAACCATTTAATACTATATTTTCTAAGATAAATTGATCTTGCATAATTTTTGAAGTACTGAAGCATATTCTCAGGAAAAATTACTTCTGGTTCCTCTGGCCTTAGATCTCTTTAATTATTCCTCAGTTCTAAAACAGGAAGATAAATCTCAGTTCATCAGCCTGAGAAATGGCAGGATAGTTGTACAGGCAATTGCAAAAATAACCCGTCGCAAAATGTGAAATGGATCTGGCCACTCACACTGACTGCAGTTCATCATGTACGAGTCTCCTCTGTTGCAGCTGTAAAAGATGATGATGAAGGTGGGAAGAGAGCTTGGCTTTGGGCTGCTGAGGAATCATTCTTCGCTCCTCGTAGGACCAACAATAAATCAGGCCGCTGGCCATCGTCGTGCTTTTCTCTGGCAGCGCACAAAGTTCACTCCTGCAAAACATCTGGGATTGCATCTGGCTTCTTGTTTCACAGACAGGACGGAGGTTGAAATGCAGACTCTTTAAATAAATCGAATCGAAATAAAAAAATACCAACAGGATTGCAGTTCTTCCCAGGAAATGAAACAATTCTTCTTCCAGGAGCACATGTATTGTAGGGACTCAAAAAATTACTCAGTTGTTGTTCGCTTCAGAAACTCCTTTCTGCCTGTTGTGCAGCAGTTGGTTCCTTGGAGCTGCCATCAGAACAGCCCTTGGCTGCTCTGGAACTGCCAGAGTCGGTGGGTTTTCTTGATTTGTAATTAAAGACTGACCGCTGGCTTACTGTAGACCTCAGGTTTTGGGCGAGTGTGGAGAACAGCTCTCGGGCTTCATTCCTGTCTTGCTCACCAAAATCTACATCCTAGACCATTAATGCAATCTTGAAAGATTGTTCAGCCCTTTGCATTAGAAGAGATTTTTAATGACACAACTCAACAAGTGCTGGCAAAATTATGTTTCTTGGAAATCCTCTAAGTCCCAGCATTGCTAACCCTCCTGCTAGCTGGTTAGCTAAAGCACTTTCTAAGGATGTCTCCAGGGTCTGGCCCTGCGCTAACAGCTGTGGTGACCAGTTGTCCATCATTTAAGCTCCAGAAATTTTGACTTCATGTTAAAAACCTTTTCCTGCATCATAAGTAGGAAAATCCTGCAGCCCATAAGTAGGCAGTAAGGAGAAGATAGGAATGATGTGAATGAGGCACTTGGGCTCTTTATCTGTTAGCTGTGGCTTTTATGTGAGAGATGAAATATCACAGGATTCCATTCATCTGAAGCTATTCTAAAAGCTGGTTTTGAGGACTTAAAAAGGGGGGGGGGGGGAA